TATCGGCTATGAGGAATTGGCTTCGTTTACTGTTTTCCTTATTTTTTAGAACGGGGAGGACTTTTACGTGATCCACCGCATTCAGCCACAAATGGGAGTATCGTGCAGTAGACTTTTAACTTGTTCAACTTATATGATTCGTTTTTATCGTTTCGTCATCTCAGGCAAATAAGGCGCCGGATATATTACTCTCTGCGCTCTTCTCTTCTTGGAATAGGTTCGAAGAGTCCTGTAACTATCGTAGATGGCATTTCCCGGTTTGGCGTACCGAAAATGTTCAGTAACGTAAACGTAAATGTCTAGATATTCAACGGAGGTTTATGGCGAATTTCATATCAGCTAGGCTGGCGCTGCCTCTGCGTCGATCGGAGTATGCCCCCTTTTATATATCTCCATCTACACTATTCACCCCGCTAACTGGCGTAGGCCGCCTCGAGATTGATGATGCTTATCCTTAGAGTCTGTTCCTGGTGCTCTATGCATCTACAGACGTCAGAAGTATGAGAAACAACCTGTCCTTAAGGCCAAAATACAACTTTTTCGAACTGAACTTTGCTCGTAGGTCAATTTTTAGTTGGCATGATAATTGTCGACTTCTGGAAGCGTTGGTTAGCGTTGGAACCTTATCGTTTAGTCAGTCGCGTTCGAATTTCGTTACGACATTGACTCACGCCTAGAATTTAAAAAAAAGGGTATGCGTCTGCGTCTGTTGGTGACTCCTATTCGCCAGTGACCTCAGTTCAACATCATACGTTCTGCAATAACTTGTAATTTGCAAAAAAAATCGTTTCGCAGGACTACGTAGCGCTATCACAGAATGACGAGAAACACATTTGCGCAAAAAGTCTCGTACCTAAATGCACATTCATATGTAATCATTGCAAAATTAATTTTATCTTGAAAATCGATTGCAATACGCCTTGAGCCGTTTTGAGATGAATAAAAGTTACAGTACCTAAGTTGAGACTTCTTTTCATGCTTTCTTAAAAAAAGACTATATCTAACTATTTAAAAAAAAGTAAAAATAGATAATTCGACAAAATTATATGTGTGACTTGTGGCGATTATGTTCACTTAAGATAAGCACCATTTACTTCGACCACAAGGTGGATGCTGGACCTAAATCGCTTACTAATCATTTTCAAAATTCCTTTTCTTTGATCCGCGATCAACTTCTCAGTAGTAACCGTGCGTCAAGCGGTGTTGGCAGGTGTGCTGTCGTTCAAGTGCCGCTCTAATAAGCTATAATAGAAAAACCGAGCAGGATTAATTTTTGATGGTAGTTGGCCTGAACGCCTAAAAATGCAGGCTTCAAAAGCCGTTGGAGCTTATTTAAACGATCTAGTTGACAATTTACATTTCTCAAACTTCTTGAATCCTTCTAAAGCGACCATTAATTTTTCTATGAAAAACCCAAATATACCAAATGCTTTTTGAGCCACTTCGATTAATTACTCAGCCCCCCTAGACCTAAGATCTGGTGAGAATTTTCGGGTGTACTTCACGGAAAATTTCTTCTGACTTTTCAAATGCCCCACAAATCCCAGCAATAACAGGAAGCGTCGATTTTGGGCGAAACAAAAGCTTTTGGTCTTAATCGGGTACGCCAAAGTTTGTCCCGATTTGAATATCGCGCCTTTCGTTCATACCGCTAAATCAGATCCAAAGACAGACCAAGCTGTGACACATCTGTAAATTTTAATGAGTCGTATTTTTCCCCATGCTACTTCATCGAACAAAGCTGTGGGAAGTAAAAACAACAAGCAAAAACAAATTTGCAACAAGTGTAAATCTTATCGCCTAACGGGATGTTCCCCAGTTGTCTCTTTTTTTCGTTTAGATAGCTTCGTACCTGGGCACATGAGGAAAAGGTTTTGCGCTACATTTTTATGAGCGAAGGATCTTTCGCAGTGGTTTCCCAGGATCATTGACCTGGTTATTTTTTGCCGCTTGGGATCAATCAGGCGTATTAGGGCGTTCACTGTTAAAGAAATATTTGGGAAGTTATTCTAATTTCGAAGTTTGCAGATCAGTTTTATATAGTAAAAGACCTACGCACTAAAATTTTATGCAAGCGAAAGAGGCTTTAGTCGAGGTAAAGTTGAAAGTTGGCCTAAATTAGGCCATTGAAAGATAATTGCTTTTTCAGACAAAGCATCATTTGAAAAAATGCTGTGCATTTCCCCAGTTAATGAAATAAATTGGGGTATATATAGACATGAATTTCCTTTTGGGGTGAACCACACAGCAAGATCGTTGAAAACTTGTGCGCTGAGATGAAATATCAAATCCCCACCACTAAGTAGTCACGATATTTTGAAGATATAACGACCAGGGCATATAATGGAGCAGTGCGCTAACAATAATAATAGCTCAGCTCTCTGAGCGTCAGCCAAGGGCAGTACGTCACGATGTAAGTGAAGCGTCCAATCAAATTAAACTCGACATAAAGACTTTCAACAAGGGATTACTAATTTGATATCTATATTTTAGGGGTGTTGACGTTTTTCAGTTGATTTTTCCCAAGACGAAAAACGATGCTGTCGATTTGATGTTCGCAAATTATTTTTAGGCCCTTCGTTTCGATAAAGGGCAAAAAATTTTATCGCAATACGACGCTGACCATCACGCGGCCAGGGCACATCCGTGAATAATGAGCATCGGCTCTGAATTTACAACTTGTAAATTGGCCTATCTTTCATAACATACCAGCCCTCAGGTGTTCCCTCTGTACCAACGTGTCCTCTAGCTCTGTCCAACAATTTTGCAGGGCCATGCGAAGTGGGACATTGTTCAATATTATTAGGCTACATTTCCACCTATAAACCATTCGGACATAACGACGTTGAGGAAGCCGGCCCGTTAGAATCCGGAAACGCTGTTCCCCTCATACGACTACTTTAGCGGCGTCGACTGATGCAGCGAAAGTAGATGAGCTAGCTATGCTAACAGGCCTCCAGTAGCGATGAAACGAACTTTTGTAACAAACATGGCACTGCAGAATTTGAAGCAGTGGCTGTAGCAGAGCGACAATGGGTATGGTAGTCCTATCAAGCTAGATTATTTACCTGCAATACGTAATGGGGTTTTGAAGCCACAAACGACTATAGCTGTCCATCAGTTCTCTTCGGCTTTATCATTATGACTATTATTATAGCGGTCGATCCAATCAGTAGACCAATCACCATCATCGACTTCTACAAATTTGAAATATCTAGTGCAGATGCCACGAAGTTCATTAAGAGTTACTGCATGCGGAGACCTTGTATGCTATTATATCTTGCTGAAACGGTGCTCCGAATTTCGCTAATTAGCCTTCTAGTGAATCTAAGGACGTGTAGCCAGTAAGGACAAAAACAAAACAGGTGGCAACGCCATGGCCATCCGAGCCTTAGTCCTATTCACACTTATTGTAAACCAATTGTTAGTCTATTGAGCTATTCTTGTGAAAATGATCATCACAGTCGAGTATAGTTAGGCCTACACGATTTGCTCACCCAGTAAGAGCAGAAGATAACAGGCACATTGGATTCTAGTGTGCTATTCTACATGTTTGTATGTAATGATACTAATATATGTCTGTTTGTATTGATGACCTAGAAAACGGCGCTTACGTTTTATGAATGCAGTTTTGATTTGAGGAGGAAAAAGTTCGATAAGAACTACATGTCTCCGGAAAATTCATTTTACATTAAGTTTATTTTCAAGGAACCGAATGTAAACTAAAGCAAAACAGCTTTTGAACTATTTTCCTAGCAACGGGCGAAAATTTCTATACAATTTCAGTGTCTCAATTTTTATCAAGCTCTACATTGAGATTAGATACGAAACTGTCCTGTTCTATAAAATCGGTACGTTTATATTGTGTGCATGAAACGGATATCCGATTCTAAAACAAACAAGGACCTGTAATTTTTCTGCTAACTATCAGTTAGCGAATATAGTACAAACTCATTGTTGTTTGTAGTTCCTCAGCTTGTTGACGTGAAAGCTTAGCGTGGATCTATCCTATTTTGGCGTCGGCTCGCATGTTAAAGCCTCCAGCTGCGTTATAAGTAGACCCAGCCGTGACCGCCTAATTCCGCTGCTATATGAGTATAAAAACGAGCTTGTTAACTATTACATTTTTGTTACAGAACAGTGACAACGTGCCCATAGAACAAAACAATCTTTGTTGTAACATTTTTTAAAAATGCAAATATTCTACAAGAAGACGGTCATTGGGATCGTCTAATTGAAATATCGATGAGCATAGCTCGCTGCCGCTGAAGTCCTGCATAGACAACAGAGCTACATTTATTAATTGTGGTCGTAGGCTGAACAGAAAGGGGCAACTGAAGAGGCAGAACAGTCGGTCAAATCTACCGAAAACACGAGCTAAAATATTTTTCCCGTTGTTATGATTTGTAAATTTGAAAACGTTTCTGTGAAGTTCGTATCTGTATAACCTTCGCGAGCACACAATTCTTTAGCCAGAACAGTTGTTCCAAGCTCCGTTTTACGCTCAACGACACTGCAAAATATTTTTGCCGGATTTTGGTTCACTGCTGTACCTCACTGTGTACCTCACCATCCTGAGCAAGTTAATTTCTTTGATAAGTTCTATACGTGAATCAGTAGTTTTCCATAGCTATAGTAATTTGAATAGAAGTACTTTGCTATAGTTGATTATCTTTGAAGACACAACCCAAAAGATCCCACTTACGATACACTTACGTTTAACTAGAAGACAGATTTATTTTTTGGTAAGCATCATTTAAGGTACCGGTAGATTATCACGTAACAAAGAGCTTTTATTATAAGATACATATATCCTTTCAATATAAATAGAAAAACTGTTAATTGCAAAACACTTCTGAAAAAAAAACAAAATTGAGGTACCTGTTTGCAGCATTTACTTTAGTCGCATCTTAACGATGTGCTTAAATGAAAACATTGATAAAATCTCCAAAGTAAATTAAATATTTCTACATATACTTGGTTACTCTGTGCGTACTCACTCTGGTCGTTGTTAATCTGTATCTGTAAGTATGAAAAAGGTTTCCAGATATGGATCACGTTAATAATACTCCTTATTGACCCGTTGGTTATGTGCGATCTTATGTATATATAATATTGTTTTTTACCTATCGCTGCAAGGACTCCACCTAGGATTACGCGGAATATTTATAGTGACTGACATGATTAAACAATCAAATCGCATAATCGAGGCAAGGCTCATAGACACTAAATTATCCACCGGGTCTATGAGCGCGTTCTCGCCTGACCTCCAGTCCTGGACCTATTTCCTTTTACGACGATCTCGAGAAATAGTGCACATGTCAAAATTATTAACACATTCTACAAATATACGTACGTGTATGCTGCAGCGTTTACGATCGTTTGGCTTATGAGCCCTTCCCCTCTTTAGCGTCGCCTGATCCGTCTTTTCGTGTTCTTCTTTCTTCTAAGTAACCTCAACGAACTCACCAGCATCCACTACGATTACCGTTGCCACCTCACTACTTTAATCCGCAGTGGCCATGTTCTCATTATCTTCGCCACTAGTGCAATACACAATGTGGGTAATACCTGTGCTGCTTTGCCGGCCCTTTCCGGAGAAAGTGGTTCACGGATATTGCTTGGTTGGCAAGCGCCGTTGGTAGCTACAAGCGAGATAAGGTGAAAGGGCGGAAGGGACTGAAAAGGTGCAGTAGTAGCTAGAGGGTGGGAATTCAGATCGAGGGGTGCCTTGGTAAGCCGTCGCACATAGTTGTACACAACTGAAGCCCAGCAACAACGTTCCTCCCTCAGACGTTAAGATGGGAGCGCCGAAGGGCTGAAAGAAGGAAAGGAGGTTGAAAATGCATAGGTGGGGTACTTCCTATAACCCCGTCAAACTGCCTGTACCGCATGTACGTTCGTCTGACGCTGCGCGTAGCTATAACGTCGAGCGGCGGCCGCATTGTAGCAGTTCGACTAGGGAAGCAATATATAATGCAATACAGAACTCACCTCCGCTATGGCTAAGCTACCCGTTACCATACAACTGCGCGGCCGGTCGGCCAACAGCTGAAAGACCAACAACACCGTAAACTGTCAACTGGACAAATATTGACAAAGTAGCCATAGGCTTTCTCAATAATGGTCACGGATGAGGCCGTCAACTGGCATTCCTGTGTCCTGTACGCGGAGAACATTAAGGGCAAACGTAAAACGACGCCAGCTCAAAGCTAGATAGGGATCTGGTGTAATGGGCCTACATTCGTGCATGAAAATCCCTCTCCTGGGTGTGGTGCAAGGAGTTGGATGCAGCGGTGAGCGACGATGTAGACATTGTTCTAGAGTACTACTGAGCAAGAGTTTAAGTGAAGTAACCGTCAAAGACTACAGCCAGAGAGAAATTTAGGAAAAGCACTTGTTTCACGGGCGATAGAAGCGGGCTGTCTGCTTTCTTTTGTAGGTGACTTCTATCTAGCGGCATGAGTGACAACGTCAACAACTACGACGGGCTGGAAAATCGCCGCGACCAGAGGATTTTCCTAAGCAGAAAATAGGGGCCTTGACGAACATTATAGGGCCAAGGAAGTACGTGCCTGCTCTTCGCCAGCCATCGTCGCCTAGCTAGTACAGCTTAGCGTGCGAAGCAGCCAGCGCAAATTCTAGCGTTGCACATTCAACCCACCGACGCGACGCGCGCGTCGGGACTCAGGCGGGTGGGAGCCAGCGTCTGACCGAATGCCCCCGTGGCACTGTCAACCCTAGTCGCAGCAGTAGATTTGCGAATGTTTACCGAGCCAACACAGCACAAAGAAAAGACACTGTGTTGTTGCCAAATGTACCACCGACTACTATATCTATCGCTACTGTTATTTTTACAACCGTGGTTGCACTGCCGTCGCATATCGTACTGCTGCTACGCCGATATACATGTGCGAGCAGTGGACAGGGAGAGCGAGCCGCACATTTTCCGGTGCAACTTAAGCGACGACGCTTTGAGGCCGACAGCCGTCGAATACCTGTTGTCCCTAGAGTTTTTGTCCGTCGGCTCTTCTACCTGCCAATCAGCGGTGCTCCAAGACACTATAGTAGTTTTTTTCTTATTTCGGCTGCAACATAGCTTGCTAGCAATATTCGAACAGAGTTTTTACCCCATGCTTCCGAAGCCAACGAGTGACTAGGATGGTGGCCAGTAGCGACACAGCGAACGTTCGCTTTCAGTTCATTTTCCTAAGGGCGTATGGTGACATTAGCCCAGGAAATGTTTCTTAGGCGGCAAGTAGAACGACATCTGAGTTTTGACTTGTGAAAAAATGCACGAACATCGCCCAGAATGCTCTCGCTTAATTCATACGCTTATGTAAGCCAAATGTAAACAGACTATCGTGGATGTTCATTAATATAGAGCAATTTTCTCATTTACTTACTAAAAAAATTGACAAAGACGATTTTGGCAGGCGGTCCGCCATTGGAGAAAATGACAAAAAAATTCGATTGAAAAAATATTCTTTGGAAAACGATTATAGACGCCCGCTGTTTGACGAGTCTTCACTTCCTCATGGGAATGGCGAACCATTCTGACAAGCTTTGAGGTGTTACAATTCAGTTTTTTTCCACTGAGTCCATAAAACGCCGATGCATCAATTGATGTCAAAACGTATGAAGTTTAAAAAACATGCTATAACCCGCATCACTTAAGGAGATAAATGATTACCAATTACTATATTATATCTCTTAATATTTTTGCTGTTATTATTATTATCAAAGCCATTATTTTGATTGAGATGGCGCTCGTAGAAAAGGCTCTGGTCCTGTGGCGGACACCCGTTTCATGTAGTGGTCTCAAAGCATGTTTTCCATAGCACTGACCACGTCTCAGATTCCGATGAGATATCCGATTTTGAGAGAAAAGTGCAATAATAAGTAAAGTGAAATAAAAAAAGGCTGGGGTTCGCTTATTAAATTTTATGTTTAAAATGTCACTTATTGACTTTTATTACACAAATGAGAATAACGTAGCTCTTCCCTTGTAATGACAGATTCTTGGGTAATTTAACGTTAGCATTAAAAAATCAAACAGGTTGAATTAGAAATACACGTATCCTTCCTAACTTACCACGGTACGTCTTTTGTCTTTTTGGCTAGAGTCTGAATAATAGCGTCTCTTATATGAATATATTTTCTCACATTCTTGGCTAATATAGTAATTCAGATGAACCTACTTACTCAATCCTATTTGATGTATATTATGTCACAATTTCGCAGTAAAGCGATGCCTATCGGTGCCTTGCGGATAACTAGGATTTTATACCTCTTTTAGCAGGCTAACTTGCTGAGCTACATTTTCAAAACGATCGCGCTATCATCGTAGCCATTACATACTGTAACTTTCTTATGCTATGATACAAACTTGATTCTGCAGGCTATTGATGCACTTTGCTACGAATTACTACAAATCAATTGCAATTTCCTAGGTCCAGACACGCATTCTACTCCGTGTAGCGATTGTTCAGCGGCCCCCAACTGGGTTCGGTTATTCTATTCGGGTCGAAGCACAAGATACTCGTGGTTCATGAAAATGGCTCAGTACAAATCAATTACGTAAGACTCCTAGCTGGGACATTTCTTCGACGCTTGAAAAGAATAAAACAGAAGGTAAAAGTGATGCACAAAGGAAAAGACGCAATTTAGCCAACAAACGACTGGGGACCTGAGAAGAGTTCGCAGACGAGCCGATTTGAACATAGACAGCAACACGGTTGCCTTGGGTTGGACCAACTGCTGGAGTTCGGTGAGTAACGGCGAGCTTCCCGTTGTTATCTATCCCCCACCAACAACCCCACTGACATTATACATGGGGCACGGGGAGTTGCTCCCTCATAAAGTAATGTGCAAATGGACAAAGCGTGCAGGAGAAGAGCGATGCCTAGACAAGAAGAATAGAATAGCAGCTGTTTCACAGAAGACGACTAAGGAGAAAAAAGGGCAAGCGCGCTGGCCGTTGGTTAAAGCAAGAAATTCAAGCGAAACAAAGGCCGGCGATTGAAATACCCTGTTCCCCATCCCGGTCTCGAACATCTGCCCTCTGAATCTGCACAATCGCTTGATGGGCGACTACTTCTTCAGGAGAGTGAGTAGAAACTTTGTCAATTGCTAGGAAGCAACAACAGAAACAGAAATACTGAATAAAGGGCGTAAAAGTAAGAGTGCGCTCACAGAGTCTAAGAACGACGCAACGCTGTCATGTTCTTATCTGCTTTATTTTTGAAAATATCCAAAATGGTTAGTACAGTAAATAGGGTGTCAAGTCCCATTGGAAAATCGCCCGAGTGGGGCAGCTGCCACAAAGAATAAAAATGAGCTTTCTAGAGGAAATCCCTTGTCAACGGCCCTTCTTCTCTTCCTCGAACTCGATCCTTTCACTGCAATTTCTCCGTCAACAACTGCCCGTGATTCGCTCTGTGCATTCTATATTTAATCAGATTCATCTTTCGAACGTTGTATTTACAGTCGGACTGGCTTATGGTAAGGCAAGTTGCCTTAGGTTTCTTGTTGGCGACGATGGCGGCTAGACAACCGCCTGTACCCTTAAAAAGATCCAAGGCTATACAAGAAGTACATTGATTAGGGTTGGGAAGGGCGTATTTGATCTGTCAAATGTCAAATGTTTCACTGTAAACGACTCTTAGTCCTCTATTACCGTTTAATGCATCTTTCCGTGCATCAGACCCTACATCATTTAATACCTCGACGTAATTACTTAAGCTTCGCTCTTAGCCTATTAAGAACCGAATGAAAGCAGATTGCATTGCAGTATTGATAAAAACATAAATACACCCATGCTATCATTGCTGACTATCTAGACAATGAATAGGCTTGCTGGACTTATTACTCTCTGTCCAATTTTCAAGCAGCTCGTAATTCCGTCAAGCCAATTTTGTGCTCAGGAGACGCCCGCGAGTTACTATAATATTTTGGGTCGTTCGTTTTAAATAGCCAACTCATCTTACTGCTTCGGATCGGGCATCGCAGGTGGCCCTGAAAAATTCGAAACGAGAAATGATCCTTATGTAAGGTGGTCGGTCTATGTCACTCGGAACTCTATGTGAACTCTTCCGGTGCTTCTCCATCCAATACTTTCTAAGTGAAACATGGAAACCGCTCGTATCCATTGTCCTACACATGGGTGTCTCTCCTATATGCTAACGTCACCGCAACCTGACATCGCTACTTCGCCGGCAAAACAGCTTAGTTTCTGCCCGGACACTGTTATGCAACTGCCAAAGTCGACTCCGGTACGCGCTGGCTCTGCCGCGCTCGTGGCACGATCTTCCTTTCCCATGCGTCGACAACATTGGGGGGCCGGTGTCACTCCTCCAGTCCTCTTCACAGAGGTCCTGCTAGTACACGAAAGCTTCCGGGGTGAATGCTTAGAGAATGGCATGGTTTGAGAAGCTGTGCCTATTTGTGGCCCACTGTTTGGCGTGAATGAAAGAACGAACTGTGTAGCATGGTACAGGGAGTGTGCAGATAAACTCTAGCAGGATTAAAAGTCTCCAAGACGCTCTTAGAGCGCATAGTCAGCTCACACTAGACCTACCAGCGCGCACACTAGTGGATATGTGGCATTACCATGCTTCTGTAGAGTTCTGTTTACGCCTCACCACGTACACTCCTTACTGCTTGCTAGCCAGA